TACACTAAATCGAGGACCAAATCCAGAAACACGTACCTCACTGCGGAGGAAACGAGAGCTCAGCTGACAGCCCAGTCTTGAGTTAGCGATTCTCAAAAGAAAAGTTCCTCCTCAGACGACATCCCTGAAGAGTCAGTACTGTACTGCAAATGTAGCACAAGGCACATTGATGTATTTTGGTCACTTTATTAAATGAGATATTAAATAGTTTAAGTTTCAACTACTAAACAGCACTTTGAATGGTGAAAACACAGATAGTATATCGTCATACTTGAATGCTTCTTCTCTTTAAAAACACATTTCCAGTCCTTATATATATTACAAAACAGCCTTATAGGAAGAGGTGACACCTTTTCTATAGTACTTAGGATATTTAATACAGAACTGAAAAGCCATCTAATAGAAACAAAGGCAAGTCTTCACAGCTGTATGATTTCAGCAGCCAAAGCTGGTTGATGGACTGAAACATTACTATACAACTGGGACAAAACATATACAATATCACAATACTAAGCAAAAACGCTTTACATCCAAAGGAATAAACAGGTTACAAAATGTGGAGAATTTAGCAGGCAAAGTTGTATTACAAGCAACATTTTTATTCGTCATCTTAAGCCATTTCAACTAGTTAAAACATCTAAAACAAATATAAAAATGAGCCTTTTATTATCTTACTGATGTATGTTCCGTCTTTAAATATTTGTTAAAGCTTGATGTTATACTCAAAGCACATCGTTATGCAGCTAAAATGTCAAGTGAGAAACATGTATGCAAAGTGGTCCAAGTTTTATTTCAATGCTTATCTCCGATTTCTTCTTCTTATGCATTAGTCTTCTGTTATCCATAGTTTTGTCCAGAATGAAAAAAATGTGCCTTTAAATGTTGCCTAAAACTTCCACATTTAAGTCTTTGAGTTATTGTAAAACTCCATTGAACATTCCCAGGTTTGGTAGAAGATATTTCTCTTTTATTCATGACACGTAGGAATATCAGAGAGAGTTGCTCAGAGTACATTTGCCTTCAAAGGTTTGTCTCAAAGTCTCTTATTGTCATGTCTTCTAGTGTGAACACACCTCTTTTTGCTCCCCTCCCCCAAAATTAAACAAATTTAATTGCAGAGCTGGCAAAGCACTAGAACATACCGAGGGTCTCCTGTGGTATCTTGTAACAAAGACTCCAAGACAGCAACTTTGTGAGCTGGTTTTGCAACAGATCAAACAAACTCTGTTCAGATCACAAATCAAGTTTCAATCACAAAACGAAATATCGCATAAGATCTGCATATTCAGATGCAAAAAACACTTGTCCGTTCAGGGCAAGAACTCAAACTCCTTGCAAGAAAGGTTCCAGAAACCCAAACAATTTTTGTTCGTGTCAGCAAGCCAGAAGAGTCCAGCAAAATCCCTCCATCCACTAATTTCTCAAGAACTCTCCATCTGCTCTCTATACTCAATACACCATTGCATCAAATGTTCCTGTCGCTTATTTTACCCCCAGATTCTAAACACCTCTTTTTTTTTTTTTTTTTTTGAAGAATCAACCAAACTATACTCCAAGGAAAGCCCCATTTGTGTTTGATCAGATCTTCACAAGCACAGAAAACGTGGGTAAAGAGAGCGCTACTGATATATAATAAACCATAATTTTATCTCTGGTCTACATAAAGAAACCAAAAAAAATCAAGCTCTTTTCGTACTATATTATGTTCTCACACAAACGAAAGGGAACGGGGAGGAGTGCATGATAACCAAAACTCTTATCTAAGAGATGAAAAGTTATTTCACAATTCTGGCAGCTCTGGAAGTTGCTACACAGCACTTTCTTGGTATCGATTTTAAATCAGCAACGGTTCTGCTATTTTAAAGTTGTTTATAAAACAGGGTTTGACCCTAGCCACCATCACTACTGTAACCCCCAAAATACCAGGAATTTACATTTCTTGGCCCATCTCCCATTGCCGGCAATGGGAAAAGACACTAGCACCAGCATTAAGGAGTTAACAGAAATGTGCTTTGTATTGGACTCCGCATAGAGTAAAATAGCGCGTGAAGGAAAAACATCTCCAATTCTAAGATTACCAGTTGTTATTCCATCACATAAAACTGAAAATAAAAAATGGCAGAAGACTAGAGAAGAACAATCATCTTCCCCAAGTCATGATTTAAGGCTGTATACACAGTTTCTATATAACTGCACGACTCAGAAGTTTCAGAGCAGTAGTATTTAAGAATATTGCACTCAATTCTGCTTCAAAAAGAATGTTCAGTTCCTATGTTTTATTCAGCATAGATGATATAGTATGAGTCCAGACCTCAGTCAAAAGGAAACTAGACTATTTCTGTTATAATATTCCCACTAATTTCAAGAAACGGGTAAGCAGAAAAGTATTCCATAATTTGAGGAATCAACTCTAATCAAGAACTCAGCTGTGTACAATTCACATATGGTATACTGAAACATACAGATCTGTAGTCCTTCCTAAGCTTCTCAAATCGGGTGATAGCTTCATAGCTACTAAAAACAAGCATAGGAGTTTAGACAGGAAACCTGTGGAGCTGCTACTGTTACGGGAGGACTTGTTTTCACTGAAAACAACTTGATATCTCCTGTACTCAACATATGTAAGAAGATTCTAGGCAACATCACTGACAACAGGGAAAACATTATGCCCTAGTTAAACAAAGCTGAAACGCTAATATGGAACATGGCATTTAAGGGGACCAACCAAACTATTTATTCTTTTTTTCTCTTTTTTTTCTTTTTTTTTTCCCTTTTTTTTTTTTTTTTTTTTTACAGTTGAGTTCTGTTAAGCCATTGATTCCTAAAAAAATAAAAGTTCTTTCTCTGATTTTAACAATCCTTTAAGCTTTTAGTGCAAAATCACATTGATTTCCCTTGGGAAGGCCCTGGATTTTTGCCTCTCATGGGGGGTGGTGCTCGTTGTAAGGGTGGTGGCTGCATACCACCCGAAACTGACTGATACATTCCTCTCATATCTATCTGTTGGTAGTTGGAAGGATTCATGATTAAATTGGGAGGCTTTGGCATCATGAGATGACTCATTGCTGCTTGCTGGTAAGACATTTGCTGCTGTTGCTGCTGATTGTACTGCTGCTGTAGTCTTCTGTTCATAAGTATCCTCTGAACACAACTGATCAACTGTGAAGGGAAAGCAGAGCTGTTATGAGTGCATGACCGTCTCAACGCTGCAAGTATCAAGTTCAGAGTTAAAATCAATTTGTTAGGGATACCATGGCTGAAGGAGAAAGCACTATTGTTATCACCATCACTAATGTGATGGCATTCACAAGCTGATTACTGTAGAAACTATTTAGTAACACCATTCAGGGCTAAGTTCTTCTAATGACTCGCCTATTGTATTGCACCCAGCATTTAGGGAAGTTGCTATGGCAACATGCACTACTCTGGGAAACTACGCCCAGGTATAAGTTACAGCATTTTTTGTGAGGTACCATTTATCATCACTTTGGAAGTCCTGCCTGCTGACTGCCACTAAACGTATGTTTTCCTAACGTCAGAGGAGAAAACTCTTCCCATCGGCATAATCCGGGCAACTTTCAGGTTTTGCAAAATCATTCTGAACAAAAAACCCCACTATCTATACTTTCTGGCTAAGAGGCGCCTTTCATGAGTTGCTTGCTTAGTTCTGGGAAATAGATTTCTCTTCAAGCCACACGACCTTCAAGCAAACAGAAAATTTGGACCCCTATTTTTTGAGAGGAACGAGCGATGGAACGCACCACACTGCAGAAATCAGCACCTCCCGAGGCTACACCAGATACAGAGCCGGCTACTACCCGACCCAATGAGACACGCGCTCTGTATTTAGATATCTAAACACGTATCTAATTTTATAAGCAGTTCAACATCCCAGTTCAAACACAGCCAGTCGGTCAAAGAAATTGTAGGTATTTTACCATCTGTTGTTTAGTCAGGACATCGTTATAGATGGCTTCTCGGCGCTTAACGTCAAGCTCTTGGCTTGCCTGTCTGCTTAGGGCCAGGGCCTGCACTTGGCTCTCTGTAAGTGTTACATTTTCTTTCCACTGAAAGAGAAAAAGAGCAATGATAATTGAGGTCTCACATTTTCTTCAGAGTCACATCAAGAGTTAAACTACAACCACATTTCCAGTAAATGTAAAATTATACTTCCCTGTAATTAGAAGTAATAGTCATCAATTCTTTAAACTACTAATTGAAATAATATATCTCTAGATTATTAGGAAAAAGAGAGTAATGCAACTGCCCAAAAAACCTAGAGATGGACAAAAAATAGGGAGTACTTCCTACCTGAATATAAATATTATTCTTAGCTGTAGGAAGTCAGCACGTGCAGTGCATGGCAAATAATAATGAATCTAAGCTGCTAATCCCACAAGGCTGTACAACATCTAGACACCATTAACTGTCACTGCAAGCTGCAGTGATAAAGGTCAACACAAATTGGAAATTAATTTTTTTTAATAATACAATTAACTAGCTGAATGAGCATACACAATAGTCACTTCTTCGCTTGATAATGCTTAACATTTTCCCATATCCTGGTCCAAACCTACAAATATCTATTTCACTCACTATAGTTGAAATTATGTCTTCGAGGGGCTGAATTCTTGCTGCAGTTACATTGTTGGTTGCTTCCACAACTTTCTCTCTTCCTTGATTAATGAGATCCTGAGAAAACACCAGGAAATTAATTTAAAGCATAGATGCAAAGAGCACATCTGTTTGCCAACAGTTTATAAACTTCCTTCTGCTTATGCATCTATACTTTAATTACCTTCTTCTCCCAATTCACACAAGGCAATGCATCTGGGTAACAAGATGGAATCTTAACTTCCACACATCTGAACTCGAGAATAGAGTAACTGAACAGAATACACAAATCTGCCAATTTTTCCAGTATATGGTATTTATACAAACTATTTGTTTACCCAGGGGTTTTCAGATCATCACAAGAGTGCTACTTTTATACTTGGGCAAGTTTTCTGTGGTGCTGATTTTGATGACATTACATCCTCTACTCATTCTATGTGCTCAAACCACTACAATCTCTTCTAACATAATGCTGGCAGATACGTAATATACAGGTATATTATTCAAAAGGTATGTTCAATACAGAAGGATCCCCGAATTTGCCCGCTTTGCTGGAGGGTCTCATTTCTGTAACGCAGACTCCTCACCAGACACTAATCGGTGGCATAAGACAACTGTGCTTGAGCTAACTGCAGGATACAGCCTTGCAACGTACTAGAAAGAAACGTCATCAGCTACTTCGGCTAAGACAGCAAACTATGACATGAGATAACTGAGGAACTGAGCACGCTTTCCTCTCTCCCATTCCTCCTTGGGGAGGAGACAGATGGACGCAGAAAGCTAGACGTGGCAATGCCTGCAAAGGATGGAGTTGATCTTCCAGGATCCTGAGATACTATGCAGGTACAGACCTTTCAACATCTATGCATACTGGTTAAATTTCAATTGAAGAGACCTATAGCTACACCAGAAAAATTAACTGTTGCAAATAGGAGACAATTTCATAAATACTAGGCTATTTAAGAGTAACATTAGCTATTGATGTGTGACAGAGCAGTAAGCACATGCACACAGCAACACAGACACGTCACGCTGTTTGAACTTCACTACTCACCTCCAGCTGCTGATTACTCATTGCTGACAGAGCTCCCAAGTTGAAAGGAATATATGGCGTCTGAGAGTTGAAATTTGTGGGAAGCATAGTGGTCCCAGTCGGCATGTTGAAACGCATAGTCAGGCCCTTAAAAAAAGAAAACACACACACACACAAAACGCACTTACAAAACAGTTTGAACAACTGTCATAATTCACGTTCTCCGGTAATAACCCATAAACTAGCACAAAGAAACAAATCAGCTTAGAGAAGAATACAAGGACTGTACATTACACATGAAGGCTAACCTGTCTCAGCATAACAAACAGCATTTCCAAACCTGAATTCCAGAGGCCGTTTTGATTACAGGGGAACCTAAGTGCTGGTCTTCAGTTAATATCAAAGTTTAGTTTAATTATAATTGTTTGGCACACTACGGAAATAAACTACCAAGGTTTGTTACTATGTCTTTAAATTGCTTGTTACTATGTCTTTAAATTGCTTGTTACTATGTCTTTAAATTGCTTGTTACTATGTCTTTAAATTGTTTGAGACGCATCTTTTAATTGCAAAACTACCATTTAATGTTGATTTTGATATATCTGATTTTAATCAAATTTTGAAGAACTGAAATGGATAATTACTACATGTTCTGGCTAGACTGAAAATGTTACAGACGTACACAAAACAGAAAAAGGTCTTCCAAAAATTAGTCAGACATTCAAAAACTGGCAGAACAGGATCAGTCTACCCTTAGCAGAAATACCATAAACAGGAATTTATTGATGAAGGCTCCTTGAAAATTCTTCTCTATACTATAAACTACATTGTTTTCCAGAAGAAAAAAAATCTGATTAAAAAAGCTAATAACAAAATCAGTCACACCTAGGTCCTCTAAGAATTTATGCTCATTTAAAACAACACCCCACCCCACCCCCCACCCAAAACACACGATCAGCACAAATTAATTCAGATGAGCATAACGGGAAAGGAAATGCTTAAAAAAGATTGCTGGCTAGCAAAGCCTTACATCGACTTCCAAGCCAAAAAAAAAAAAAAAACATGGAAGCGATTTTTGCTTGCATTGTATGCTTTAAGAACAGAAAACAACAATGTTCCGACGAATACGCGCAAAAGCTAACGAACTATTGTATGCTATTTTTGCCCTGTATCTGAAATTTTAAAATTGCGCATATACGTACGCACAGAGGTTTTCCTTTTAAATACACATTAAGGCATCTACTAGATTCATC